GTTTAAGCAACCTCTAAGTATATTTTTATTAAAAATTAAATAATAAATTTTTTTTTGTCCAATATTCCTTTTTTTTTAAACTTATCTGATTAAAATACTAGTTAAAAAACGCTTTTTTCATGAAAAAAAATTATTTTAGCATTACTTGGGTTCAGTTATTTGAAAGAAATATTTATTTGTTTATCAGACAATGTTTTATCAGACTCCTAACTCAATAAAATTTTTATTTTTCCATACAAATCAAGCCAAACATATTTAAGTAAGCCTTTTTATTAAAATTTTTTTTTTAACATTTTAAAATACAAATTAGGTTATTAAAACAAATCGTTACATATTTTGACGAGTTTTTTAGCAAACTTTCAATGGAAAAGTTATGTGTGACAGAGCTTCATATGATTTGCCGGCAGACCTCTTTAAAATTTAAAAATGTTGAAAAAATTTTTATAAAATTAAAAATTTAGAAGAGCAAGAATTTACATTGTAAAATATAAATTAGGTTAATTTATCACATTGACATTTTTTGATCGGTATATTAGCCTACTTTCAGTGAGGATGCTATTTGTGACACAAATTATTGCTTTTAGGTGTCATGCCTTCGGTATTTATACTGATTAGCATAGGAGCCAAGAGCTAAAAAAGACAAAACAAAATAAATGCATACAAAAGAATAAGATCTCTAGTAAACTTAAAAATATATAGCAACTTTTTCAGAGAATCACAGACATGACATGAAAAAAGTCTAAAAATCTGAAAATAATATAATAATAATGATATATAACATAATAATAATGTGAAAATAATATATATTTATCAATCAAAAGCAGCACACTGCCAATAAATAAACATGGGCATGTTGTAATTACCTGGTTTTAACCATTTTCTCCATGGCTTTTACTATTAAAAACTTATTTTTTACCATATTCTGATAAAAACTATTCTTTTCTGAATGAAATTGCCTTGTATGAATATCAAAAATTTATCCTCCCCTACCTTATGAGCCCTACCCGCCATCTTGAATTTATTCTGGAAGCTGAATTGGCTGAATAGAATGAGATAAAAATTAAGTCTATAGTAAAAATAGTTTAAAATGGTTTTATGTATTAAAAAATTTAATTTTTGAATTATACTTATTTACACAAAAACATTTCAATTTGAAAGTAAAAAAAAAGGAATTACATAGCAAACATTTATCTAGATAAAAACTTTTAGCAATCTCTCTTTTTGGCCCCTTAATAAATTCAATATGGTGGTTACAGCTCACATCTGAGGCTAGCACAAACTTAAACTTTTAACTCAATTTTAAGTTTTCCCCTGATTATTTCCGAACGAGAACTGGCCTAACCCTAATTATTCCGAACAATAATTAGATGTCGGGAGATTTGACTAATAAAAACGCCCTGACAGTAGTTGTTTAAAGTTATATCTAAATTAACTTCCATTGTAAAGTAATATCTGTTTTTCGAACTCGTTCCTAAAGCCCTTCATTGAATTTGAATAAATTATTGTCAGTTTATAAGGCTTTTGAAACGACAATGCTTTAATTAAACGAACTTCTGCTCATTTCTAAACAGTTTTATTACTGGTAACTGCAACTGTGGTATCAATTTTAAATAATTATTTCGAACGACGATGCAGCTGGGTTTATGTAAATTAAGTCCTATGAGAATCCTTACTAATGACATATTGAATGGAATAACTGATTTTAATGATGAAGAAAATTGTTAATAAATTGAATTTTAAGTCATTTAAAACCGGAAGGAATATCTACGATATTTTTGTGTTACATTATATTTCGGTGACTTGGTTAGAATGTTATTTGTTTTAGTCATTCCCTGTATAATGAGGATATTATGATAAGAGATAATGGAGATATTATGTTTGATTTGAAAATTATTTCTAATTGAATTAAACATGACTTTTGATTTCTTCTTATTTTCTTCTGATGGGTGTATTGTAATTGGGTTTCATTATAAAATTGCCTCAACTTATTTTTAGATATTTTACGAGAGATAAAAAGGTTTTTTATTTTGAAACTTTAAATTGCGTTATTAATGTAATGCCACTTGCCACACTAGCAAGCCTGCTTGGTGAAACCGAGCAAATTTAAGGCAGAGGGTGCGTTTCTTGCTTTTCAGTGGCGCCATCTATGGCCAAGAATACGGCTTCAGCCACACACACGTCTCAGCCCATTTATAAGGCGGGATCATTCATACATCCATTTATTTATCCACAGATTGTGATTTTGACCTGGATCAGAGAACGTGACCAATCTCCAATTTAGTACCCTCAGAGGTACTGATTTCTAAAGTGTGTAAATGATTTTGTCGATTTTGATGAACTCAGACGCTCATTTTACTAGCCCAATGGTTTAAGCTCAACCTCCGTCAAAAACTCAAAACAAATAAGTACTAAAATTATTCAGATTTTGAATATTTCTTAAAAATTAAACATTAAAATTACAGAAAATTTTCATGAACTAGTATTTTCTTAATTTTGTTTTCAGCACAAGCAAACTGTTTGTTATTTTTTTTAAAAAATAGGAAACTATTTTATTATTATTTTTTTATAACCGTTGTTGAACAGCCGACCCAATTTATGGGTTTATGACTACTAATGCTCAACTCCGTAGCCTTGTAATTTTGAACCCAATCCAGAAGACAAGGGAACTCGTGGATCGAGTATTGGCAGAAATTTGCCTTCGTGGAGGACTTTTCGATGGAACTAACTTGGAGAGGAAGACCACGAGAACCTCCCACGATTTGTCTGACGGCAATAACCCATGATCTGTCTACCACTGAGGATACTTCCCGTCAGCACTGTGGTCGGAGAAAGCCGGATGCGGAATTCGTATCGACTGAGATTCGAACCCGAACGCTCTATTCCCTGAGACATCGCGGATCATGTTTTATTATTTTAAGGAAATAAATTATGAGTACTTCAATTATAAGTACTTTATAAGTACTTCAATTATTACAAAATTATTAGTTCAGGAAAGCAGAGTGTTATTTGTTGCACTTCGTTTAATGGGATTTTGCTCTTTCGCTAATTGTGGATGCTTTGTTTTTCAGAAATTCTTAGATACACATAGATACTTAAGAAGCTAGACACACAAATGAAAACAATGCAATACCTCTTTCAGCCTCTTATGAAGAAAACCTATACATTAAAGAACAAAATTCAATGTCTGATTTCTTTTCAAACTTCTTTTAATTTAGTAGACAATTTTCCGCACTAGAAATACATCGCGCAAAACATCAGAAACTCGCTCGGCAAACAAATTAAATAGATTTAAAATTCGGACATTTCAAAAAATTATACCCTAAATTCACTTTCTAAAAATTAAAAAAAATACGAATCTACAGTATAAAACCAAAATAATCAAACTGATATCATTACCCCCTTAAAATCCCATTGGTGATATTTTTTTGCAAAAAAATGCACTTTAAATAATTGTAATTAACTAATAATTTGGATTACGCCTACTAAAATTTTTTAAATTAATGCAGTGAATAAATTTTGTTTTATTGCACTAGCCATAGGTCATGCAATAAAACTTTTTTTATTAAAATTGGAATTCACTGATAATATGTAAGAAATATGCAGAGTTTCCAAACTTCATGCAAATAATCTCGATTAAAATATTACTTGAATGAAGTTTGACTTATTCTTTTAATTAAAAATTGCAATTTTTAATTTACTAATGAAGTATATAGTTATTTAACCTCGAGACATAGCGTTCACTACATTGAATAATATTCGGTTCAGTTTTAGAAAAATTATATTTTAAGCATTTTTAAGTTTTATAAATTGTCTACTTAAAAATATAATTCGATTAACCCTGATTGATAGAATTTTTTAATTACAAAAAAATATTAAAAAAAGGTTTGAAATTCAATTTGAGTTACCTTTTGAACAGTTTTTTGGCACATAAATATCTTAATACTTGAGTCTTGTAGATATTGTTTCATGAACAAAATGTCGAAAACTGCACTATAAAAATATTATTTAAAATAAGCGTAAAAAATTTAAATAACCTGCTTGGACAATTTTATCGCACATAAATATCTTAATATTTGAGTCTAGCAGATTTTGTTTCATGAACAAAATGTTGAGAACTGCTCTATAAAAATACCCTTAACTATGCAAACAAAAAACAAAATTCAAGTAACCTTTTGGACAATTTTATGGCACAGAAATATCTTAATATTTGAGTCTAGTAGATGTTATTGCTTCATGAACAAAATGTTGAAATCTGCTCTATGAAATTATCCTAAACTGTACAAAAAAAATGCTAAAATATCATGTTTTTTGTAATTTTATGTATTTAAGTTTTCATTAACTGAATTTTTAAAAAAAGAAATATTATCTCATTTGTGAGTTTACTTTCTTATATAAACTACATATTTATTAGTGAAAATCTTTTTTCTGTTATTAATTTCAAACTAGAATCTCAGATGGTTATAAAATGGCCTAACGAATGAGTGAACCAGAAAGTTCGTTTTTTTTTCCTTCGAGAATTTGCAAAGACCATTTTGGATAGTTGTCACTGAATTTCGTTTATACATCACTCAATTTCCTCTCTCAAGACTCTGCGTAGTTTTCGCGTGTAACATTCCATTTTTATTGATGCTGAATTGCCCGTTATCGTATTCTTTTACTACACAAACGAATATCAAATTAAAATCTTATGTGAGAATTTCGGTCCATCTTGTACTATCATATTAGATTTAGCATAATTTTTCTATAAGATTCAGTGTAATTTTTCTTCGTGAATCTGATGTTATTTCGATTCTATTCATTCACTTGAGAGCATAAGTCATGTTGTTACTACTAATATAATAATTCATTAGTACTCTGTTCCGTGATCCTTTAAAAGTTTCTCATGGATGTTACTTCCTAAAGTATCAAGATTTGAACTAAAGTATGTTTATTTTACAATACATTTTGTACTCAAATGCTTTCAATTTTCTGCAACTAAATTATGGAAATTACAATTTTAGGCTGCGCATATTCGAAGGAGAAAATATGGTGGCAGATTCAGGAAACATTTTTGACAGCAAGCTGAAGGGCGGAAGACTTGGCGTATTCTGCTTTTCACAAGAGGCCATTATCTGGTCTGATTTAGTATATAGATGCAACGGTAAGTCAACAGTTTATATATCACTTTTAACTTGATCGCCAAAAAGGCGATGATGTTGGCATGGAATAAACGGACCGTTAAATACATAACACGCGCCAAACTCCATTTCGGCATTTCTTCAAGCAGTCGCTTCGCCAAATTTGCATTTTATTAGTTCCTTACAGAATAATCGATTGAGAGTTAATCAGCTGGTCAAATATTTAACTTTTAAAAGATGTCGGGAAATAGGGAGCACTTTAAGAGCTGTGAACAAAATGCTGAATTTTCACTGTTTCGTAGGATAGCGTAAGAAATTAATCGATGGCGTAATACTTCATGTGGAATTTTCTCCCGCATCAATGATTTAGGTTTAACTAGATGAAATTAAGCAATTAATCTATTTCGACTGGCATATTTGTAACTATTTAAATATTTTCAATGGAATGGATATCTAACAGTGAATACTAACATTAATTTTAAAATACAGGTTCGAAAATTGTAAAAATTAGGGCATCTCACCATCATGAAGTTCAAAAAAAAAAATGCAGGTTTAGACCCCCCGTTAATGCATCGTCTTATAATCCTTTTTAAAAGTAAAGTCAAATAAATACACAAAGAGCTCACAAATTAGTAAAGAAAAAAATCACTAATAAGGAAGGCGGAACGAAAGATATTAAAACGAGTTAGGTAGTTTGATGAAACTTGGAGGCGTTTCTAATTTTCGCCTCTCAATACTTCGAACCTCGAGATCAATTAGGTCTTGAATTTTTGGTCCCACTTTCCTTAATTGTGATTCGTTAGCTTTCGTTAGCTCTTTCCTTTTCTTTTTTAAAATATTAATTTATGACCTTTAATTTAAGTTTTTTATAAATACGTTTCCAGTTCTTGTGGTTGCGTTCTTTTAATTTTATTTTGATTTACTAAAATTCAAGTCAAAATAACGAAAAAAAAAATACATTCGATATATTTTAAGCACTCAAAAATAGGCACCCGCTTTCAAAACTTGCCTGACAATGAATGAGAAGAAACAAAAGTGATTTGAAATGAAAAACGTAAAGTGGTCAAAGAAAAATCGAAAAATAAAAATGGGAAATAAAACTAGAAGAACCACAGTAACCGAGAGAGACAAAAAATGAAAACTGATTTCACTTTTATTTCCTCTCATTCACGTCTGGCAAGGTTTAAAAATGGACGCCGGTTTTTGAATCCTTGAAACATGTCGATTGATATTTTCAATTTCTATATTTTTAAAACGAATGAAGATTTAAATCGAGTAATATCTTACAGCTTCAGTTTCATGGGATTATTAATTTCATTACGTAATCCAATACATAAGTAAAATTTACTGGACATAGCTTTAAAGCAAATAAATATATTCAGATATTTTGTTGATAGATTACAATTTTTACAAATGAGGTATTTTTATATCAAATCATTCCTTAGTATTTTTTCCAGATAGGTCCTTTATGAATTTCCGGAATTATCACGTGATAACACATTGCAAGTAATTCTCTTATTGCATGCACGGAAATTAATGTTTTTTTCTCACTAAAACCACTCTTGAAAATGTGGCTGAACATTATATTACCCAAAGTACTTTAATTATAAAAAAATACTTTACCATTAATCCCGGATTACTGTATTTCAGCATGTAATCAGCTTTTCCTATCATTTTTCGTGTCATTTTTTCCTATACTTCTTAAGGTTTTTAAATGATTTAGCGTTCTTTTTCATCGCTCATTGCATTTCATAATAAAAATTTTTTCAAAAAGAAAAAAAAGAGAAGACATTTTATGAATTATTTTGTGAGCGAATTTAAAAAAAATGTTACCCAATATTTCAAAACAGTTTTTACCATTAAAAATCAATAAACCTGACTTTCACAGAAACTAAACTCATCAAAAAGAGATAAACTGTTATCTAAACACTCAGTAGTTTTGTTTTGTATAAAAAAAACATTTCGACGAAACCTAACCCAAGGCACTTTAGCGCCTCTTTTGGCCTTGCACAACCTAAATGCAGCCGAAGACATTAAGATAGGAAGTTGGGACGAAAAGGAGCCATAACTTATTCTTACTTGCTATATATTCCTGCTATATACATTTTTTTTCCCTTCTTCTCCCTTACAGAGGCTGTACCTTCTGCTATTTATCAAGAACTTCCTCGGCAACTACAGAGTATGACGGAAATCGACACTACCCGCTCCAACGAGATAATCCAGGTAGGCAGGAGGAGGGTGGGTGATTTCCCTCAAGGTACACCCCCGCAAATGCTTGCAGATCAACCACCCCCAAGCAATCGGACGGGCAAATCTTAATGGTGGGAGAGGCACGATAAATAAACTAGAATTTGTGTGTACATTAGGGTTGAAAAAAAAATGCTGTGGTTTGCTTATATGTTTGTTCGGATGCATTTGTGTATGTGGCTTTTATTTGCATTTCATTGGTTTCCATAAATTATTTCGAATAAATACTTCATTTTGAATGGTTAATCGTTGTTTTGTTTTTTTGCGTCTGTTTTAAGATTTAATTTTGATTGCTCGTTAAGTCTTTAGGGACAATTTAAATTTTACGTAAGCCTGTTTTTACTACTTGTGAACACTCCCTTGTCAGAAAAAATTTGTGAATTGCTTCCGTACTCCCCCCATGCTTACGTAAAAAAGTACCCTTTAGTTTTTTGCTCAACTTTTTCCGTAGGAATTTTAAGATTAAGTTCAAATAAAAAATGCCAATTTGTCCCGTTTTAATTAATTTAATTTAATTTTGTATCTCCTTGAACTTTTTTCTAATTTTTACTTACACTAAATTTAATTTTTATTTTAAATTTTTAAAATTATCATTTTTTAAAACATTTTGGCTTTTTTTTAAAAAAAAATTAAAAGGGGATTTTAGAAACTTATGTAAGCATCGCTCTTAACTTTCCTATCTTTTTTCATCAAAAAAGAAAGAAAGAAAGCATCCGATTTTTTTTCTCTCTTCCTTTAAATGCTTACGTAATATCTAAATGAACGCTTACCGTTCTTTGTAATATCTGAAAGCATTAAAACAAAGAATAAACTAAACAGCGTTAAAAAAACTCAAATTATAACGCAGTTAAAACAGAAAATTCCCAGTTTTTGACTGAGCTTGTGTATAACATGCGTGCGGGAAAGTTCTGAATATTTCTAAGATTTTCAAAACATTTTTCAAATTTAAGATAATAATTTTCAAGAATTAAAAGAAAATCTAACATATTGCTTTCTTCTTCAGCATTATATGGTAGTATTTCGTATTTGTTGATTAATTTACATAAGCAAAAAAACAAAATTATATTTTAAGATGTTAATTATTTTACGAGATTAGAATTCTAAACCAACAAGTGATTTTCAGTTCTTCCTGTCCATAAATTCTACAGATTACAAGAACAGACGAAATAAAACAAAAATTGAAATAAAATGAACAAATAATGTGTATTTCTAGCTAAGAACGAACAATCGGAAAATGTTTCATCTGCAGTAGTTTGTTAACCTGAGCTTTAACTGTTAAAGAGGTGAAAACATATTTACAGAAAAAGGTTTTTCCTATCTCGTACACGTGGCGTTCAATTGCACATGACGTCACATAATTGTAAAAGCGCATGCTCGCGCTCCCATAGTTACTGCAGAACACGCATACGGGAAACGTGAACAGCAAAAGAGTAATAAAAAAAAATTTATTGTTGTGTTTTTTTATTTAACAATTTCTTAGAAATCAGGAATAAAAATATGCTTCATATAATTTTATCTATCCGTTTTCCTTGTTTTAAAATCTATTTAATTAAATAATTTTCCGCATAATACCAAACAGTTAAAATATGATTTAATTTTTCCGCATTAAAATCGATTTAATCCATTAATTTTCCGCATTATTCCAAAACATCAAATTATCACTACCATGGATTATTTTATGCGTGGATCATATTCTACCTAATTGAATTTCTTTCATAAAAATAATAAAAAAAGGACACAGAAATGAAAAACAAAGTAAGGTCCTAATGGCCATCTATTTTTTCCAACCCAGCTGCAAACTCATCTCCGTTTCCAACCACGAACCAGCCATCAACTCGTTCTTTTATCCATTTCATACCCTTTAAAAGGAAAAGAGGTATCAAAATACCCAGTCGTAAATTTCTGTTGGGAAAGAGTTTTTCTCTAACTCTTTTTCTTACGATTCTTACCTCCAGAGATAAACAATTGGCGAAATTCTCCTACTTCATGTAATCATAGTTAACTGCTTCAAATTGTAGGGTAACAAACTATAGTGGCTCCCTCGAGTGGAAGTACACACAACTATTTTCCCCGCACGTCATTTGAAGTATCAAACAAAACTTCGGATCTAACTTGATTGAAGGAGAATATTTGAAGAATCACGTAAACACTTAACAAGCTAACAAGATCTTTTTTTTTCTTTCTGATTTTATAATTTAATGCTGGTATCACACATAGGATTTTCAATTTTGCTAAGTGTTTTGATGTATGGTGTTCTAGAAGTCAAAAAATAATATTTTTTTATTACTGACATTAGAAAAACAGATTTTAGAGGGGATTTTGCACGGCGTTAACCGTAATAATAACCTTACAATCTATTTAGCGAAATCGTGATTCGCACGGAAAATTTCGCGCATGCTCTGTAAAACTCAAATAGCTTTAACGTTAGACTTAAAGTTAGTTCTACGCTGATTCTGTATATTATCATATTGTATATATATTAATATATCAATATATCTTAAGCGTTTGAAGTTATGGCACTGCAGTGCAATTACATAAGTTTAATGTGATTCGCATATACACGGCAGTTAGTCTTACATGTTGTTTCTAAACATTAGCATGTGCGTAAAGTTTATCGCATGTAGTGTGAATACTCCCTTAGACTTTGCAAAATATGTTTTGCTTAGGATTTATCTTACGTTGGACATGGGGTTGCCAAACTTTTTTGATCATCGACCCCTACATAATTTTTCGAAATCTCCATCGACCTCCATAAAAGTAATTTTATGTTAATTAAAATAAAACTCTATTAGATACTGTGTTTGTACATTTATTTTATGATTTTGAACATTTATTAAAGCAATAGTACATAGTGTAACAATAGTTTTATGAAAAATATATTAATGTTGAAATATAAATACCTTAATATTTATGAAATAATAAGTAATTATAAGTAAGTAGAAATAATAAGTAAAGTAACTACGGATTTATTGCTTCTTAATCAATGACATAAGTGTGCCTGGTGTTTTTTTTTTTTTTTTTTTTTTTTTTTTTTTTTTTTTTGCAAGGTTTGTTATATTGGGTTCAAAATTGGTCAATTTTAATCTTAAATTCCCTCGAAACTCCGCATTTAATTTATATCTGTTCTTAGCGAAGATTGAATTTACGTGACTGTAACCGGCTTCAACCATATAGGAACTTGAAAATGCTATCATAAATGGCTGAGCTATTTCGTAAAGTCTTACATATTTTTGCATTATATTTATGTTTGTCCAAAATTTGCTTATTGCTAAATTTTTAAAAAGCGTCTTTGCTTCAAATCCCCATAATAATTCAGCAAGCTCATCTTGCAGGTTGATGCCCACGTTTTCAGTTTGAGCAGAAAATGACACATAATCCAATCAGGGATGTCAATGTTTTCCAAAACAACAAAACGCAGTTTAAAATCGTCGCTCAATTTTTGAAGATTACCTGTATATATTTCCAAGTCTTCTTGTCAAATATCTGATAATACTGATAATCCTTCGACCAATCGATCCTTCCGGTTCGGATTGACCCCCATTCGACCCCCTGGCTCAGATCGACCCCCGCTTATGTTAAATAGACCCCTGGGGGTCTATATAGACCACTTTGGCGACCTCTGCGTTAGACAGATCCTTTACGATTCATCAATTTGTAGACAAATAGTCGCGCATGCGCTGTAAAACTCAAATTTTGATGGCGTTCGAATTGCAGGAAACCATAACGCTCCCCGTTATGGTTTCGTTATGGTTTATGGTGGAAAACCGTTACGCTTTGCAAGATATCTATTATATCAACTAGAAGTTGCGTTAACCCCATTTTTAATGTATATTTGTGTCCTTTATTTAAAAAATTTCTTTAAAAAAAAAAATCACAGATGTGTGAAACTTTTTTGCCCTTTGAATAATGTCTATGTTACTGTGAATGACCGATATTGGTTGGTTGTTGACCTCCATCGGTGAATGTTGACAATCACACAGTTCCTTTGGTAAATGTCCAAAATATATACTAGGACTAGTCAAATGCCACAGCCCGGTATACATTAAACCGGTAGTCCGAACACTGATGTTTCTCCTAATCTATCCTCAGCAGTTAGTAAAATATCGAATAAATATAATAATATCAACGAATAAATTAATATCAAATCGGATATAACAAATATTTCTGACATTCTCGGTAACTTCTATTTTACATTGAATACTTTGTTTTATAGCTGAAAATACTCGTGAATGAATGAAAAAATGTGAAAGACTTCCTTGCAGAATTGATCGAGATAGAGAGCAGAGAATCGAAGAATAACATAAAGTGGCATCCTCTAACGAAATAAGCAGTTTCATAGGGGATGTTCGTTTTCAAATAATTGTTTGTGGTCAACTAGTAATGATAAATGGAAAGTCATACTACAGGGATAACGAAAACTGGATGAGAGAATTTTTTCCGTTTTGATACCTCGTGGAAATAATATTAGTGAGACTTAAAAGCCCCGTTGGTACACATCTTTCTCTAAATTGAAGATCAAGAACTATACACATTAAAAGTCCAACGTATTATTTAACAGAGGCAAAGCCTTATCTAAAGCTGTAGAACCACGAGTAAGGAGTTAGGTATTAGAAACATCGGAACCAATTTGGTTAGTTGAAGGTGTTTTCAATAATCACATTTTATCTTCTGTTTTCGCCGACAATTAGATAGGTTTTATTGTTTTTATTCTCCCTTTTCTTATAATTTGTTAAATTTCGATAAAGATGGATCTAATTTCTAACTAGGATTCTAAAGATATATATATATATAGTTGTGATTGTGAAACACCCTGCATTTTCACATGAATAGTATCATTTTAATGTAGAGTTTGTTGACACCAGAACCGAATTCCTTTTTATTGTATTAAACTGAGGAAAACTGACATTACGCAATGGAGATGTTAAAATTAAATGGTGCTCGAAACTATGTCTGAAAAAAAAGTGAAAAAAGAGAGAACAACGAAATCTCCTATCATAGTTAACAAGGGAGTGTATAGAATTTTAAATGAAGATCCCTATAACACTTCGAACAACAAGTTAACAAGATTTATATCAGGATCCAAACTCTTTTATTGCGTAATCGTATCGACTTGCGGATGAGATTTAAAAAGTTCCTAAAGAGTCGACTTATTTTTCTTTTTTTAATGAAGCCTAAGAATGAGGAAATGCTTAACTGTATGTCATTTACATTTAAACGCATATTTTTACATTTTATTATAAAAAAAA